GGACTTGAAGGTCTCTAAATGCCCGCACAGTTTGAAAGATTCCTTTCTCTTCTCTGAATCTGCCCAGGGGGAAGCCTAGGGAGCTGGGGCACCAGCAGGGGCTGAGAATTCCCTGGAAATTTGCATGTGAAAGCATGTTACTGCCATGGCTATTAGTGTTGCAGTGGGGATAGAAACAGGGCAAGGACAGCCTAAAAGCCAGGCCCTGGAGCAACAACTGCTTATATGGGGGAGGGAGAGAGAAACATGCTGAAGTGTACATGGGAGGCTGGAACTCCACATTTGGTTCCCAGAGAAGTATAAGCCCACAACCTATAATGTCCCCTGCCCAGCCTTGACATGCCCAGTGCTGGGACTGGGCCACAAACAACACATATGGACCCCCCCTGGAGTGTCCAAGCTGTTTTGTGATGTCAGAACTATGTGAGGTACCACAGGATAGGACCCCTCAGGGCAGGGACTGAATTGTTACTATATTTTCAAAGTCTGTTCCAACAAGGACTAAATCTCCCATGTTTTCATCAGGGTTATAAAGTGCTATATAATGTGTTTTGATAATTGTCTTGTGTAAACTTATATAGTTTGTCAATATAAATACTGCATACATATAGGTTTCATTTTGTTCTTGTATACACACAAACACCTGGGGAGTCTAGGAGAACAAAGCAACAGGGTGCAAGAAGGGCACTCAGCTCTGACCTGTCAGGTAAAGGAGCTAGCTCTGAGACCTTCCAGCAGCTACTGTGTACCTCTGATCTTTGTGTTTGCCCATGAGAGGTTTGGCCTATAAAAGAGCTATCAGAAAATGTACTAAATTCTGTGGCCTCTGACCTCTTAGGTTCTACTAAACAGGTATTAGGATTGCCAGGGAGGCCACCAGCTAATCCCCAAGAGAGTAAGAGTGCATCCAGGGAGGCCACCAGCTAATCCCCAAGAGAATAAGAGTGCAGGTAATAGAACCCAGATACCATGGAGTCTCTGGTTCAAGGATGGTCCCAGAATCTCCTTAGCTTCTCCTGATGCTCTGAAACCAGTGAAATGACTACTAGTAACTTTTCCCTATGGAAAAACTAAGAGAATGAGGGATTATTCTCTCAGAATCTAGTTCCTCACCTACTACCATCTGCGGCAGCTGGAAGAGACCAAATTCATGGAGGAGGCAAGGAATGAGGACACCTTTCATAGTTTGACTTTGTGAAGTATTTATTAGAATGCATTTTGGGCAAACCACATCCCAGGTAATACAGGATTGGAATGGGATAGGCTAGGGATGGAGCCTCAAGATGATTTCTCAAGAGGATGTCTATGAACTATGCCAAGCTCAACTTTGGTTAGCTGCCAGGTACTTGGGGCCTACTCCAAAAGCAAGAAGTATCCCTGGGAATCAATCACAGGCCCAGAGCCAACTGACTATTACTCTACATCTCATGGGAAAAGCAGCAGCCATCATTTACTAGGGCTATCTACATGCTAGGCATTCAACATTAGTGTGGGGAGAGGGAGAATATGGATGAATTAACATGTAAAAGATGAACTTTGGAATCCAAGATTTCAGTTTGTGTTTACTCCATTCTGTCTCTCACATTCAGATGATATATCACCACACAGGCATAGTTAAGGGGCAACCAAACTAAAAGTTCTTTATGGAAAGTAAAATTCTCCGGCAGCAGTGTTTGTGTCTATCTTGTTTGTCACTATACCAGAATGATCAGACTACCATGGCATATAGTAAGTGCTCAGTCAATATTTTCTGAAGTAGTGATGGTGTTTACTCCCACTCACCAGTACCCAAAGAAACTGAGGCCCATAGGGACAGGTACGTGTCAGGCCCTGATCAAAAAGTCATGGCAGAGATGGACTGGCCCTCAGGTCTCAAGCCTGTTAACCTGGGTTCTGCACCTTAAAGCGTTCTCAGTCTACTCCCCTGCTTCCTATCTCTTCACACATTCTTTATGTGTTCCCAGCATTCCCTCATTTCTTTCTCTTTGCCAGCTGGATAATTAACCACTGGAAACAGAACCTATAATTACCCTCTTCCCCATGCCCTTAAATTTATTTCAGTTTGGGCTCCATGACCCTTGTCCTCCTTGGGGGCTGGTATCCCCTCAGCAACTTCCCAAATGGGGAGCCAAGATAACAAGCATCAGTGGGCCTCAGACCCCCAGATCTTATGACCAGGTATATAGGAGGCCTGCAGCAGATGGAAGAGGAGGGTCCCCAGACATGCTGGGGCTGACTCAGCTGGGGTGTCATTGGGATGGTGATGTGCCTGGGCAGAACAGGAGAGCAAAGGCAGACAGGCAGGATTTCTAAGAGAGATCAGTGCCAGATGGCCAGAGGGCTGCTTACACAGTTGAACCCAACTTAGTCTAGTCTGGCTTTGGTCTCTCCTTGTGTCTTTGGATCTACTCTCATTCCCCTGCCTAGTCAGTTCCAGACCAGCCATATCCTAAAGTCTCAAGGTCTTCTGGGAGTTCCACTACAGTAAGTTACAAGAGCCCCGACCTTTAAGTTTCTCAAAGCCCGTTCCTTTATGTAAACCGAGGCCCAGAAGGTACCTGCCCAGCTTGGTTCATTGTCGATCTGAACTCAGCCTTCAGAGGAAGCTAGGCAGCCCCACCCTTACCCGGGAAGCATCCTCTATCACTGAGTCACCAGAATCTTGGGCCCAGCTGGGACAGAAAGGAACTTCCCTTTGAGGGTGGGGCCTGTCTGAAGCCTAGCATGGGAGGCTCACATCTTGCCTCCAGCTAGCTGAGCTTAGTTCCTCCTTCACCCAACCATATGGGAAGAGAATAGGGAAGGATATTACTCCAAGATCCCCCAGGAAGCATACTTTCAGGTCTCAGCAGAGAAAGGGCAAGGAGGGCAAGCAGAGAAAGGGCAAAGGAGACACCCCCTCAAACAGCTTTTCTGATTATCTAATAAAGAAGTAAAAGGCTTGTCCTTGAAGTCTAGTGTTTCTATTTATCTAATATGTGTTCTTAGGCAAATTATTGCCCTGTAAGGAGCTCCATTTCCTCAAGTATGCGGCAAATAATTTCTCACCCACTCCTACCCTCAAAAGGAAGTTCCTGAGACACCATGAGATAGTGTGTATGAAAATGTTTGAAACAAGTAGCAGGCACTGATGAGGGACACAGCAAAGAAAGTTCCCTGTGTTGTCAATACCACATGGGCACTGAGCTCAAAGCAGTGCCAGACTTGACAGTCTGACAAGGACCAGTAGGGACAGTAAGTCCCAAACCCTTTGGATTGTTGGAAAGACTTCCCCATATTTACATTTCCACATCCCACAAATTTTACCCCATGCTCCATAAACACTCCAAAGGAGGCCCCAGATATGCAAGCCCCCACCAGTTGGTTGAGGAAAGCTGGCATCCTAAATTGAGTGGGGTCCCACCTAATGGCACTTAGTTGGAGCAGTATTGGAAGGGCTCATACAATTCAGGAATGTCCCCTACACCCCCAAACCCCCCCTTATGACATTATTCCACACTTAGCCAGTCCTGGTTAGAGACCCCGGCTCAGGCAAGGCCTCACTCTGGGCAGGCAGTCAAGTAGCAAAGGCAGCATCTAATCCAGGCACTTCCTTTAGTTAATGAGAAACCAAACAAACAGCCTCTGCCCTAGCTGGCTCTAGGAGCACCCCAACCAGGCCCAACCCTGCTCTAGCCCAGCCTCCCTTCCCTCTATCCTACAGGTCCTGTGGCTCTCCTCCCCCTTCTCCATACATCCACTTCCCTCACAGCCAATCCTCCTCCTTGGCTGGTTTACTGGCACTTCCTGCTCCGGATCACTAAGTAACTCCCCCTTCCTCCCTCCTTCTCCTTTCCTTTAGTAACTTCTTACTCATTTTGAGCTGCTGAGATCTCACTTATACTCCTCTCCTGACTTTAGTCTGGTCTTAGCCACCTCCATAGGAAATACCCCCAACAAGAACTGCAGTAGACCCAGACCCAGGCTAAATCAGGAAGTCCCAGGTCTTGTATTTCTGTGACTCTGCTGTGGGTTGAGGCCCAACCATCTTCATGTCCCTTACCACACTCTGACCTGAGCAAGTGACTCTTCAGCCTGTGGAACAGAGAATGCTTAGGGCTGCTCTACCTTGAGAGCTTCAACTACCAACCAGAAGCCCCCAGTATCCTGTGATGAGGACTCCAGTGTGGCTCAGTTCCGAAGACAGAAGATTCTTGTGGCTAAGAAGTAAGCGAATTAGCCTCAAGCATCCCCACTATCCAGTGGGAAACTGTGGAAGTCCAGTTCTTAGGAAGTTATTCTATCCACCTCCAGGCATCTTGAGGCATGACAGGGCTGGGCCTGCCAGCAGGTCTCAGGTATAGCTTCAGCCAGGTGGTGGCAGTACTTGTGGACACACCCAGGTTCCCATGGGAACACCCCTCCTCCATCAAACCTTTGCCTAACGCCAGACTGGGCAGATGCCCATGGCGCCTGCTACAAAGGTAATGGGATGGAAAGGGGGAAATGATCACAGACTTCAGAGGAATAAGAGGGCAGAGAAAATTGGGGGAGCATAGGAAGGACATAGGGCACTTGAAACATCTTGTTTCACTAGGTCAATTACCCTCTTCCCAGACCTCCAACTGGTGGTTTGGGCACAGAAAATCAAACAATCACTCACACTCAGACTTGTTCTCTCTCACCCTCTCTCATTCTTGCTCAATTTTTCTCTTTCCCTGCCTTGCTCACTCACTGTCTCATACACAACTCATTCATTTATACTTCATTCCCCAATATCATGACACCATTTAACACCCATTTCTCTGAGGTTAATTTTCCTTTCGTTCTCATTTTTTTCTGAGGACAAAGAAATAGGAAAATAATTCAGAGTTTGTTCAAAACACTTGTTCTCTTTCTCACTCTCTCATTTTGTTCTCTCTCTCTCCCTACCTTGCTCACTCACTTTCTCTCTCACACACACACTCACTCACTCATACTTCATTCCCCAATATCATGACACCATTTTACACCCATTTCTCCAAGAAGTTATTTTTTTTAGTTCTCTTTTTTCTAAGAAAAAAGCAACAGGAAAATAATTCAGAGTTTATACAAAACATCTTTACATTATTTTTTTCCAAAAAGACTAGTATTTACACAAATGGGAACAGAAACAAAAACAAAAACCCTTCAGAATACCACCTGGAAAGGGGTTGGCTCTTTGATTCCCTCTCCCACCTGGCACTGTGTGGGCAGCTGGCCAGGAGGCAGTGTGGTGGTGGATGGTATAAAGCCTAGCTCCTTCCATGGTCACTCTGGGAGAGCCTGCAAGGCACACTCATTTGGCAATCTGTTAGCAGTCATACTGGCAAGGAGCTGGGATCAAAGTGCACAACATGCTGACCCAGCACCGGCAGCCTCTTTCTCTTTCTAGGTCCCAGTCCAAGAATGGGTGGCTAGTAGAATCTGGGTTGTGTGATAACCCATCTATGTTAGAGCCTAGAAAAGCAGGCTGTCTGATCTTACACCCACTTAGGTCTCTGCCCAAGCCTCTGTTTCCCCACCAGGCCAAAGAATGCCAAAGATGAGAGAACAGGACAGGTAAGGGGGGGTACTCCCAGTTCTGCAGGGCAAATAGCCACCTGGGCAATGCATCTCCCTCCACCTTCTATGAGGTCATCTGCCTGCAACAGCTCTCCTGTTCCCTAGGCAACAGCCAATTAAGAGGCTAATTACCGTGAGAGTGAGGGAAGCAGGAGATGCCCAAGAATCTCACAAGGAAGGGATTTTTTTTGGTGGCAGGCGCTATCCACTTACCAAGATCAGTTTTGCAGAAGAAAGGTCAGGAGGTAGGGCAAAACACCTTGACTAATGGCACTCCTTTCATCTCTTTTGGGTACACAGATTGCTGGCCTGCTCCCCTAACCCTCCCACCAAACACCAAGGAGTCTATCAATTAATGACATCCTATGCTTCCTGGCTGACCACATCCTGCCCCAGGCCCTTTACACTGGATTGGGCTAAGCTTAGAAAACAGGGGCAAGGAGGGGCTACTTTTTCCATTTTTCAATTTTTCTTCAAAAAATACAGATGAAAAATAGTTGACAGATAAAAATATGAACGCAAAACATTTAAAACAGTGATGATAGTTGACAAGCAGTCCTGGGCAAGGGACAAGGGGGCAAGGGTGGCAGGGTCAGTGGACCGTCTCCATGACTGCTGTCCGTCATTGTCCAACCCTGCTCCCCCAGAAGGGGCACCCCCACAGAGCCCAGAGGCCTGGCCAGAGGGGGAAGGCACAAGAGCATGGGGGTGGAGGCATGAGTACCCCCTCAGAAGCCCCAGGGCAGGGCAAAAGGGGATTATAAAAAGGCAAGAAACTACAAAACTAAATACAAAGGTGGGCACAGCTGGCAAGGGGAGGGGTGCAGGGTAGAGAGAAATGTGGTCCAAGCCAACTGTCCTTCTGGGCCTGAGGCCACCAGGCTCTCAGACCTTGTAGTAGATGTTCGCTGGGCTCTGGGGTGGCATCTCCTGGACGATGTAGACGGGGTGCCCGTAGTCCCCACTCACCTTCTCATAGTGGGGGCAGTAGTTGTTTTCTGTAGTCCGTAAGGGGATGATGATGTCACTGGGTTCAGTTCCTGCGGTGCCACTGCCCGCCTTAGGACTGGCTAGGGTACTGAGTGAGAGGGCAGGTGCCCGCTGCTGTGTGTGCTTGCGGTGCCGCTTGCGTAGCTTTAGTAGCAGAACTGTCAGGAAGATGATGATTAGCAGGAATATCACGCAGCCAGCACCAACAGCTGCAAACAATGCCACCTTGGAGTTGAAGAAGCTATCTGGGTCCCCGCTGTCACCACCACTCACACCTGAACCACTCTTCTCTTCCTGGTTCACAGTTTCTGGAAAAGGGGGAGAGAGGGGAGAAATGGTGAGTCAAGGATCCCAGGAATATATGGCAGATCTCAGGCTGTGCCAGATCCTCGTTTCCTCAGATTCAGACACTGAAAAGGTATTCTCAGAAACACCTATACACTCACCATGCTTACCATAAGAGTCACCCAGAGCTCCTCGACCACCAGGAGCCTGAGTGCCCATCTTGATAGTGTTGTCTGCTTCCTTGCTGGGCCAGCTGGTAGTCAGCTGCTCAGGTGTAACAGCATTGGGATCTGGGGATGGAGAGAGGACACATGAGGGGAAGAGACTCCATCAACACAGGTAGATTCAGTCATCTATGGTGAACCAATGTGACCAGTAGACCAAGCCTCAAATATCCTGCACTGTTTATCCCCATATCCAGCACACCCATATCTAGCAAAAATGCCTCTCACAAAAGCATAATGAGGGCTATCAGACTGGAAACTCACCTTGCCCAACTTTCATGATGATCTTCATGGTGCGCGTGCGGCACACACCTCCCTCTCGGTTCTCCAAACCCTCCAGGCTCCCATTAGATGTAGCTAAAATACCAAAGAAGTTAGGTGAACGTCTGTTCATCTTACCCATAAACTGTGGCCCAGGTGGAAAGAACTGGGAATCAGGAAGTAGCAAGCAGCTCGCACATAGCTATGAACCTCCATTTGCTAAAAATAGTTGACAGATGAAAGGAGCATGGTAGTTTAGCCCAGTCCAACTGAGCCCAGCCTAGGAACTAGTCCTCCCCCAAGGGCCCTGCTCTTCTATCATGACCAGGCATTGGCCCTTCTTTCTCAGTGGACACAAAGTTGTGTCTTCTCATTAGGTGATGGTACTCAGAGGCAAGCCATTGGAACTGGCATCTTAAGGAAGGGTTCTATCCAGGCTGCAAGAAATCTGGATTATGGATCAGGAGAACAGGATTGGAGTCCATTTCTATCCCTAAGTCTCTGTGTGTTCTAGGACACGAAGACTCTTTATCTCTTGGACTGCAGTTTCAAGAGAACAGAAAGGTAGAATAGTTGACGGATCCACAAGCATTCTGTTTAAGACTTGATATTAGAGGGACCATCAGAAAGAAAGAGCACCATCAACTAATTTCCCACCTTATTCAACATCTAGAGCCAAGAAAACTGGAAGTGGGCTTCTGGGTGAATATTAGAGTCAGAATTTCGAGGCCAGACAGGAAGGAAAGCATGTCAGTCTTCAAAGGGGACAGAGTGGGCAGGGCCTTCACTGCATGCCTTCTCATTGTACCACAAAGAAGCAGTTACAGCTCCAGAATAAGAGAGAAGGACAAGATGGGTAAGAACTCACAGGTGATGTAGTAATCATGATGTTTCTTGAACTCCAGACCCATGTAATTGGGGCTGAACTCCTGGAACTTGATGGTGAAGCGGATTTCCTGCTCTGGCCTATTGCATGTGACCAGCACGTTGGGGTCAAGCACAGTGCTGCAGGCAGCTGCCTGCTCTGGCCGCACCAGGTACAGCTTGTAGTACTCGTAGGGCCGCCCTGCTTCTGCTCGGGGGCAGATGATGTCCAACTTGTCTCCGATTTTTGGATAGATCACCAGGCCCTTCCCACTCAGGAACCTGCCCAGAAAAAAGAAAGTCAGTAATTTGGTGTGTGTGTTTGTGTGTGTGTGTGTGTGTGTGTGTGTGTGTGTGTGTGTGTAGGGACTGTGCCATGCTGGACCCAAGACAACAGACAATGAGGGTTGGGCCAGGCCCAGTGGGTGAAGATTGCAAGAATATGCATACTCCCCTTCCATAATCTGACAGTGGAGGGAAAGAAACACACTGACAGCAGTGTATGAAAGGGTTGGGCCATGGAGAAGGCTGCCAGGTATGGACTGTCGGATAGGGTGAGGCACTGCTTGTCTGGAGGAGCCCTTTGTCATAATGTGGCATTTTTGCAGGGACGCTGACATGGCTAAAGGGCTAAGTAGTGCAATATCAGGCCTGGACTGCTAGGGTAGGGCAGACCTTTCCTCCTCCCACACCCAACGCACTCATGTTGTTTCACATCCACTGCTACTACCTCCTCTGCACACATATATGTTTAAGTGCATGCATGTGTCCGTTGCACACACACACATACACACACACACACACACAACAAGCTCATACATGCTTTAGTTACCACCCCCGCAGCTCCCAACCAACAGCTGGAGGGATCAAAACCTGTCTAGAACCCATTCCTTATGTTCCATCATTGTTAATTTTAGACTTGATGGGAAGATAGGGGCAGGGACTGACTGGAATCTGGTCAGAGATCATGATGAGCATACTCTAACTAGGTATAACTCTATAGAGTCCTCCTCACTCCCACCGCTCAGTGTTTTATCTGAGACCTATGCTACCCCCATAATCCAATGCTTGACAATTTTCAATCCTAAGAACAAAGAGAGAGAAAAACCCAAGCAAAAATCACAGCACATATAAATTAGGGCCCAGGAACCCTGCCCATCAGTGTTATAATTCCCCTACTGCTTCTGCTTTATATCTGAGAGGAAATGGATGCAGATTTCTGAACGAGGTTCATATTCTAATCCAGAAATTCAGGTACTCGAGAATCGTAGGTTGAGGGAAGTTGATCAGGGTAAATTATTCACATCTCTTTTTCTTTTTCTAACCACACAGGAAGAGAGTGGAGTTTTCTCAAGCAGTTCTTTTTTTCCTTTATTGTTGGGGGAGAGGTATTAGGCCACATCCAGCTGTACTTAGCGCTTACTCCTGGCTCTGGACTCTGGTGCAAATTACGCCTAGTGGGACTCATGGGACCATATGGGGTGCTTGGGATAGAATTTAGGATGGCCACATGGCACGCAAGTACCCCTCTCCAGAGTACAATCTCTTTAGCTCTTTTCAGGCAATTCCGAGCCTGGGAAAGTTGGATCTGGGAGCAAGTAAATAGCATCCAAAAGAAGGACAAGACTTTGGAATCAGACAGCTGTGACACTTACTTGCTCTGCAGCCTTGGGATGGGTCGCCTAATCTTCCTGAGCTAGTCCTGCTCACTGATAGATAAACCTGGAGTAGTAAGAGCCCAGCATGCCAGAGTTGTTGAAGGGAAACACAATAATACACAAATGCATGGGAGGCATAACACATGCTTGACCCCTGCTTATTGTCTAGTCTGTGAAGAGGCAGCAGTTCAGATATTACCACCAAGTACCTATGAGCCCAGTCTTGTTTCTTGTGGGAAAAAGAGAGAACATGGAAGAAAATACATTCCTATCCTCAAGTACTTTGCTGTCTAGTGTGTGTCGGAAAATTAAATGGTCACACTCTAATAATGCTCAAACATCAAGAGTTGGAAGAAGTGAGAGAAAGAAAGTTCACCTGACAGGATAATCAGAGATGGTTTCACAGAAAGGGCAGGATGAAAGTGGGGCCTGTGAGAAGTGTAAATCAATACAGCAAGAGGGAACAGTAATGGTTGGGAAAGCTCTGCAAGGCAGAAAGGGCTTTATGGTCACAGTAAGTAGTGTGGCTTTCATCCCACTAAGGGCAGCCCTTTCAGAAGGAAAAGCAATTGAAGGGCTGGAGGCAGTATTTCAACAGAAAGAAGCTAACAAATAAGAGTGTGGTTCCACTATAAGAGGACTCATTCCATATGAGAACCACTATATGAGAAGCACAAGCCATGCGGGCTTTCTTAAAATTCAGAGTCCTCATCCAAGGGATGGAAATGACACTCAGAAAAGAGTAGGAGATCTCAATCAAGTAGATAATGAAAAGTAGTCATCCCTCCACGCTTCAGGGCCTCCACCAAGCTGGGGTGTGATATCTGGTTGTGTGGGGGGAGGGGGTAAAAAAACTATAACAAGGTCTCTCTCTACCTTGGTACCTAATTCTGCAGTAACCCAGTGTGCCAAGAAAGAAATACATATGTCATGATGGTCCATGAAAATTTCAGGAAAAGGCCAAGATAGTACAGTGATTAAATGCATGCCTTGCATGTGGCTGGGCCTGGTTTGATTCCTAGCATCACATGGTCTCTAAACATCTCCAAGTGCTGGAGGTCCTCAACCTCACAAGGTGACTGAATAATCCCTAGCACTTCAAGCCAAAGAGATATTGCAGGAGTACTATGTAGCTGTGATAAAAGATGAAGTCATGAAGTTTACATACAAGTGGTACTACTACATGGAAAGTATCATGTTAAGCGAAATGAGTCAGAAAGAAAGGGATAGACATAGAAAGATTGCATTCATCTGGGGAACATAAAGTAACAAAATAGGAGACTAACACCCAAGAATGGCCGAGATTAGTACCAGGAATTTTGCTCCATGGCGTGGAGGCCAGCTACACATGCTAGGGGAAAACAGAGCTCCGATAGAGAAGGGAGCACCAAATAAAGGGTGCTGGGAGGATCCTCCCAGGATGGGAGAAGCATGCTGAAAGTAGACTATAGACCAAACATGATTGCCACTCAATGCCTCTTTTGCAAACCACAACACCTCAAAGGAGAGAGAGAACAAAAGGGTATGCCTTGCCACAGAGGCAGGGTGGGATCGGAGGGATACTGGGATTCGTGGTGGTGGGAAATGGGCACTGGTGGAGGGATGGGTATTTGATCATTGTATAATTGAAACACAAGCACAAAAATTTGTAAGTCTACAACTGTACCTCATGGTGTCTCACTAATAAAAAAAATTTAAAAAAAAGAGACATTGCATCCTCAGGCCTTCCCATTAAATTGTTGGCCTGGTTGGATAAAGATTATCAGGAGGTAATCTGCTCAGGAGTGTTCCTTACTCACTTAAATATTTGAGAGAGAAGGTTTGTGGAAAGACCCCTGACACCATTTTTAAAAGTTGAAAATTTTAACCAACGTCTCTATAATTCCCACTCACATTCTCCACATTCACATTCCAATCAATCAATACACACAAGCGTCTCTCCAAAAGGGCGGCAGAGTTTAACAACTTCTAAAAGTTCACATAGAAGGAACCAGAGATCAGAATAAAAGTGAAAGACCAATTAGGTGAAGGTCTCCTTGAAGAGAGGTATCTAAAGCCATCTTGAGGAGCCTAACCTCACTCAGAATACGAACCCCTATGGAAACAAGATCTAAAACATTTATGTCAATAAGACTCTACTTGGAGGTGATAGTAGGTAGGGAAGGGAAGACAGAGGCATCTAGGCCAGCTTGCCTTCTTAAGCACTTAGTCCTGCCTACTTCACTAAGGAGTATGCCCTGAGTGCACTCCCCCATCTCTACTCAGTCTCTGGAGTCCCAGAATTGGCATTGAGCTACACAGGATTCTATCTCTAACAGAGACATTGAGGAAGCAGATGCCTACAGATTGAGGAAACAGATAGTGAGTGGGGGAGGAGAAAAGATTATTGCCCCCAATCCCCTCAGACTCTCTTCAAACCCAGTGAACAGACTCCATAAATATTCATAAACTAATTTGCATAGCAGCTGGCAGAGCGAAATTCACCTTTTCCTAAAGTACAAAAAGGAGAGAAGTCTGATGAGCCCTGCCTTTTTCGACCCTGATCTCCTATCGTGGTGCCTTCTTGGCACCTTCCCCACTCCTGGGAAAACTGCTTCCTGGCCCATGAGAAGTTCGAAAATCTGGCTAGTGGCCAGGAGAGGTGAGTATCTAGCCAGTGAGAGAGAAGTCCAAAGGTACAATTGCTAGCCAAACCATGCATGGAGAACCTGCAGCTCTCACTTATATTCACCAGGTTAGGAGTTAGGAGCAGAGGGAAGGAAGAAGGAATTTCTTCTCCAAGTTAAACTTTTATTTTTATTGGTCACAATGAATTATAAAGGTATTCATGGTTGAGTTTCAGGCATACAATGTTCCAACACCAATTCCTTCACCAGTGTCTACTTCCCTCTACCAATGCTACCACCAAGTTTCCCTCCAGACCCCCACAGTTTGCCTCTATGGCAAGCACACTCTTCTTTAATTTTTTCCCTTCAGACACTGTGGTTTGCATTACTGTTACTTATGAGGTATTATGCATGCCATTTTTGTCCTCCTTTTCAAATGATACTCACCCAATGTCAAACAAAGTCAATCAAAGCTTTCCTTTCTGGGGCCACCACAAGACACAGCCCTTTTCTGGAAAGGGTATGATCCAACAGAACACCTGATATAGGTCACCGCAGTAACCCTTAAGACCTTCCACCCTCAGCCTCCAATTGCCCTAAAACCCATGGATCACCCAGGGAGCAGAAAACCTAGTCAGTCTGAGCATTCTTGCTTCTGTCTTATGACCTGTCTCTTCTCCAAGATAGTTTCTCTTTTTTTTCCTCCTAGGCTTAGAAGTATAATCATGATAGCTGAAAAGAATTACAGGAAAGGGAATGCCTAAAAGTATGAGGGTAGTAGCTTCCAGGGCCCCGAACTGGTCACAGGCCACTTGTATCACTGCTTCATTTTTTTCCCACTAAGCCCCTTCTCCCCTTCTCTTGACCTGCATTAGGGAGATCCTGCAATCATGGGGTTTTGCCCAGAAACCTGACCACATCTGACCAAACCTACACATCTTCCCTTTTACCCTTCTCTCAGGCTGTAAGAACATGTGGTTACAGCGTGGCCATTGGGAGAGGCTGGTCCCCAGCATTGCTAGTCCAAACTAAGTAGAAGACACTAGTCACAGTCTGGATCCAGTGACCCCAACATGACTGTACCTGTATTCATAGGGTGGCAGGACCAGTAGCAGACAGACCCCAAGCCAGAGCTCAAGTCTGCTCTCATCCAAGTAAGGGTGGGGAGCCCCCAAATTAAAGGCTCCTCTTTCACTCCCCCAGCTCCACCCAGCCCCTGAGGCAGCAGGAGCAGGCCTGGCGTGTCCCAGCAGTGCCCGCCCAGGCGTGGGTGGGCAGGAACAGCAGCTGGGCCCTGGCATACACACAGAGTGGTGGAGGCAGGGAAGTCAGGAGAGTCCCTGAAGAAGTCACTCTCCCTATGGACCCTAAACTCTGTCATTCTTTTTGCTCACCTGGCTGGGTTCCAATGAGGACTTCACCCATAGTTCCTATCTGCCCTCTGTTACTACCTGAAAGGAAGTGAAATCCCTATACCAGAGAGAAATCAAAGGTACTAGGCAGAACGCAAAAGAGAGAATGCCAAGCAGTGAATTGGTTGCTTTTAGTTGGGTCACCCTAGCAAGCTGTCCTTAGAGGTTAGATTGCCAATCAATAGCCCCAGCATGTCAAATGATGAAACCAGCAGGGCCTGAGTCACAGGAGAGAAGCATTTACACCTATGTGGTGAGGGGGAAACCCAGGGAACAGGGAGCCAACACCTCTTCCCAAACACCACCCCTAAATCCCTATCTCATTGACTCCATAGTAGTAGAAAGCTGTTGAAAGCATGGCCCCTGGAATAGCTCTGCCCCTTTGAATGAAGTAGTGTTAGAAAAGTCCTTTCCCTTTTCTACATTTATGCTTTCGAATCTGGAGAATGGGGGAAATCCTACTTTCCAGGACTACTCACATCTGCTTGGTGTGTGGCCCAGTACTGTCCACCTGTTAGCACATCAAGCATAGCACTATCCATAGGAAGAAGCCAACAGAGTATCCACTACTGGCTGCTAACAATCCCACCCAAAAAAGATAACAATTTAAAAATCTAGGAGGGGCCACTATGGTGCACAGAGCAAGGAACCCAAGATGTGGCTAGTGAGTATCCTCTTTCCTCAACTCCCCTAATAACTACACACTGGGCTCAACTCCAAAACTACAATTCCTATGGCAACCAGCAGCCTTCCAGCTGGCCCACCCTCTCCATAGTCCCAACCTCAGACAACAATGATGCACAGTAGTATTTAGGGGCTGCCCATTCCCATCCACCAGAGCTGATGAAGCAGTGTGGAGTCTGGGGCAGGATGAAAAGGGAAACCCCTATCTCAGCCTCAGGAGCCTGTCCAGTTCTGACTTTGCTGCCTCACATGGGGTTGGAAAGGCAAGGGAATAGGGAATTTTAGTAGTTGCTGCTTCTTAGCAAGCTCAGGTCCCCACCTGTGTCCAATAAGCAAAAGAGTAGAAGAGGTCAGATCCCTAGCTATGCCTTTAGAGATGGCCTCCCCAGGACCGTGAGCTGGAACAGCTGTCAGGGGGCTGAAACCAATGCGTTGGTTTGGTTTGTAGTAGGGAAGCATGGTTTGGGGTCTGCTGCTGCCCCCATCCAAGCTAAAAAGAGTCAAGGGTCCTATACACAAAACTAAGCCCACATCCCCACCCCCTCACAGAGAATATGTAATGTGATATCAGGCACATTCCCACACCCCTGGAGGTGGGGGAACCTAAGTGGGGGGCAGGAAGGGGTTAGGAAGGAATGGAGAGACTGAACCACAGCAGCTGGACTTGGCTGAGGACTCAAGTGTGAGGCCTGCCGGCTGCCCCAAACTCTCAGGGGAAGCGTTGGGGGAGGGGGCAGCACACATGCATGTATGTGGGAGAACACATGCACACATAAGCACACATACATACTGGCTCCTACCAACCTCACGTAGGACGAGACTCACCTCTCCGTCCTGTGTTCATGGGGCAAATGTGACCAAAATGGTCAAGAAAGCCGAAGCCCTCCCTATCCAGCGGCTGTCACACTGGATTGCCCTGGCAGCAATTTAGGAAAGAGGCTGAGAGACTTGAGAAGTACTTCCAGGTTCCCCTCTCCTGATCCTGACCAGTACATGGATCCTGAAACCTGAAAATGTACCCTCAGACTCACCACTTATTATTTTGATTTTCTCCAAGAAGGAAGCAATTAAGTAGGGTTTATAAGCACTGGGAGATTTTGGGGGGAGGGGATAGAAGCTCCTGACAGGGCTGAGGAGACCAAAAGCCTGGAGAAAAGGGGAGGGAAGAGAGAAAATGAATCTGTGAGGGAGAGCACAGGCATGTGCGAGAGACAAAAGGACTTGAGAAAAAGAGGCAGAGAGTGACTAAGAGTGAGAGGGAGTGTGAGAAAGAGGGAGAGCAGGCAAGTCAAACTGGAGAGGGGAGGTGAGCATGGCTTATAGAGGGTGTGAGAGGGCCAAGCTACAGGGACCTAAGAGGGAGAACTGGGGCAGCCAGCAAAGAGGGAAAGACAGAGGCTGTTTATTTTAAAGGCTGTGACAACAGGAGGATTGGGCACTGTGGCAGAGGCAGCCCCCAAGATCACGAGTGGAGTTGAAGGCAGTCCATTCCCCTGTATTCCTGTCCTTTTGAATCCCCTGCCGCCACCCACATTTCAGACTCCTGGGGCTGGATAGAACTCTGAGAGGGAGGGCACTGGGGCACCAGATCAATCCCAGACCATTCCCAAGACCTGTTCAATTATAGGATGGAATTTTTTTAAAGCTTATGCATCCTTGGTCAACCCCCATTCCTGCCCCAGGATGCCTGCCTTCAGTTTGAAATGGACGAGATGGGGGGTGGGGAGCAGGGTGAAAGACAGACCTCAAAAACCTGTAAACCTGTCCAGAGCACTAAAAGCTCAAAACACAAAAGGCGGGGGTGGGGGGAAAGCTCAGAGAGATCTTGTTTCCCCCAGCTTCCACCCACCCCCAACTCTGCAGGAGAACTTCTTTCCAGCTGTGGAGCAGCATGCTATCTCTGGTTAGAGACCTGTGAGAGCAATTAGGTCACTCTCACAAGCCCCTATGATGGGTTACCCCAGGCAGACTTCGGCTCCTCTGGCTCAAGAGATCATTTCCAGTGGGGAACTGGACACTTCACAAGCTTTCCTGAGCTACTCAGTCCAGCTGCCCCCCGCCCCCCCCCCCCACAGTTTGAATCCCTGCTGTTCAGAGAGCACTGACTAAAGAAGTTCTTGCCGATTTCTTTTCTTACACAAAGGTGAGGCCCTCTGCCCTGACCCGTTTTAGCTATCCCACTGGCCCATTAATAGTGTCTTAACCCAAAAGGAGAAGGAAATAAAACTGCCTTTTCCTACTCTAGGGATGAACGATGCCTTTTCACCCGAACCCAGAGGCTACAGCCCAGGGAAGCTAGCAGGGAGCTCAGAGAGAATGGGCAGAAGAGATTCCAGATACAGGAATCAGAGATCAGGGCAGAGTCTTCCGACCACCGCTTTCCTACTCAGTTTCCCAGTAAGTGGAAGAAAGCGCATATTGCCAGGACCTCCAGAAAACAGGAAAGAAAGAATTTTGACCCTAGGTTCCAAGTGGAGCTCTGGATACCAAAAGAAAAAAAGATTCAGAGGTCATTGAAACAACCCTAGTTACTTCCCATCAACAACCTAGAAATCACTGAGCCACCGCCATGAAAGGGGGGGGCAGTTTGTGAAAGGGAAGGAGGAGAAGAAAAGAAAGGATCTCTATTTAGCTGCCTACCCTGCTTTCTTTTTTAGTAGAAAGCAGCTCCCCAAACTGAGGGACATAGGATACGTGGCCAACTAACCTGCTTGGACAGGAATCCTTCAACCCCCACCCACCTCCTTTGCTGCTCAGTGGCGTTCACATTCAGTGAACGAGCCTTGAAGCTCTGCTCCCGGTCTCACTGGACCCCGGACGGGAGCAAGATCCTATCTCCCCAAACCCCTCTCCCACTCCACCTCTCTCCACCCGCCGCCTTTGTGAGCCTGAGAGCGGTGCCCGCCCTTCCACCGCAGGCCGGGGCAGGGAGAAAAGGGGGGTGGGGGAGGTGGCTAGAAGAGGAGGCAAGAGAAAAGCTAGTGCAGCAAACAGGGAAGAAAGAAATGAAAATGAGAGAAGCCTGAATGGAGATACAGGAGCTGCCACTCGCCCCAAGCAGGGGGCCCGCGCTCCTTCTCTTTGCAGCTAAGCAAAGGAGTGTTTTGGCCTCGTCCCCCGCCCAGGTCAAGCTCGTCTCCCAGCGCTACTCCCGGCGAAACATGCCACGTTCCCAGGGTCCCCAGAGGGGTCTGCGTTCTCCCACCCATTCTCGGCTGCGCTCTCCAGCGCCTGGAGTCCCCGTGCCGCCCGGCGTGACCCTCTCGCCTCGATCCCGGCAGTGAGGCGCGGAGGGCCGAGAAGCCGTGGGGTCAGCACTCAGCCAAGTGCCCCCACCCACCCCACCCCACCGCACCCTGCTCAGCCCGCCCACAGAAACACACTCGATAAAACAGACAAAATGGGGTGCCGCTCCTCGTCCGAACACCTCCCCAGACGCAATCGGGGGCACACGGCCTCACCCTCCCGGCCCCAGAGAGCAGCGTAACATAAGTTACTCACTTGGGGTTGAGAGAGCTCCAGGACACGGGCTCGAGATTCTTGGCCAGCGGCGTGGCCAGCCTGCACAAGGCCAACACGACTATCGCCACAAGCCACTTGCCGAGCCAACGCTGCCCGGGCCGGGCCATCTTCCCCGAGGCCGGCTGCACTTGGGGATTCCCTGGCGCCTCCGCTGCAGAGCTCTCCTCGCCTTCAGGTGCCGCGCTGTGCTCCAGGCAGCTCAAGCGCCCATCCTCTTCCGCCGCCGGCCTCGAAGTGCTCCCCTCCCGGCGGCTTCGCTGTCGCTCTTCTCAGCCCGGCTGGTCAGGAGGACTCACTGGGCAGCGGCCCCCAGCCCGGGCATGGACTGCAGCCGCCAAGGACTCGCTCCCTCGGCCTCTCCGCCTCAAGGGACGCGGGGGCTCTGCGCCCCCGGGAGATCCCACCCGATTCCGATCGACACCCTGAGACTGTTCGGGGCTGCGCGCCCTCTCCACGTCGAGGTCTCTTCAGTGAGGACTTGGTGGCAGCCCTGATACTGCTGTTGTCCCAGGATTGACGCCCCTGAAAATAAATGGGAGTCTCCCCACAACACAAGTTCACTTTGGGCACTTCCCACCGGGTAACCCAGACATGGACTCTGTTCTTCCAGGCCACACTGGGACCCTGGCTGCGCCCCCCACCCCCCTCGATAGCTTCAGCACAGTCCAGGCTCGGGCTAATTAGAAGAGCAGGGAGCTGCCGCTCAGCGAACGAGTCCCATCAGTTTGTGCTGATGAAACCCTCGGCCAGGCAGCCCGATCACCGATCGCCGAGTCCTTACTCCCTAAGCGATTGCGCTCGAGGGGCTGCAGCCAGTGCGAGCTTTACACACCTCCCACTGCTGGCCACAGCGCACAGATTCCTTCCGCTGCCTTGGAGCTGTCTACTTTCCTGCTCAGGCAAACGCAAGGTCAACCCTACTGATCCTGGCCAATAGTAAGCTCCAATACGGGGTCCTTGCCCTGCGCCACGCCTCCAGAACAGGAAGGGGGCGGGGCCTTAGGGAGCTCTTAAGGACGCCGCGCTCTCAATGGCACTAATCTGTGTGTGCGGCCCCTGCGGTTAGGGGTGGGTCCCGCCTAGTCCTGTTCCCAGAACGCTCAGCCCATGGGAAGTCGGTGCCTTTCTAGAGCAGTTTGCCTTCTCTCACCTCCGAAGGCATGGTCAATATTCTGGCCTGCTAACCTGACCAGAAATCTTTTGCACAAACTGGCTTTGGAGTCCTTTACACGCACATCTCTGTGACAAGCATAGCCTATTCCCTCTCTGTCCCGACTCACATAGAATTCTGGTGGGCATTCCTCCTTCCGCCCTTGTTTATGGACCCAGCGCCCTGAGTACACAAACGGGTAGTGGTGGATGATGGAGTCAGGGGAGTCGGGGCGGGGGCGTGGATGGGGAGGTGGGTTGCCCCTGGGGAACACGTCTTTGGAACCTCAGCTTTGGGGAAGAGTCCTGTACTGTCCGAAGGCGCGGGCAAAGCTCCAGGGTGGGCCAACGGGGATAAGAGGGCATCTCAATAAAGGGTGGGTCAAGGGGGATGAGAGAGCACCTCAATGAAGAAAAATACCCTAAGGGTGGAGAAGGTGCAGGGTAGGCAACTTTTGAAGATGCCAAAGCAAACTCCCTGGCCCCAAGACTTCATACTCCAGTCCCTCCTGGCTTCACCATCTGGGTCTTTGTCTTCCAGCCCTAGCCCATTCTCCCCGCCCCTCCTCGCTTCCTTGCTTATAAGTTTGGCTCTGTCCCATAGCTCAGACCCTCGCGGTCCGACCCACTTTTCCCGGTCATACCCGAACTGATGTGCCCATGTGCTAATGTCTCCACCTACTGGTTATTCCTAACACTGAGAGTGTTGAGTCCTAAAGAGCTCCTTTCCCCAGAGGAGCACGGCATACACCATTGAACACAAGACAGGCTAGGGTGGTGTCATGGATAGAGATACATTCCAGTATGGGGAGGAAAGGAAAATACATACAGATAGAACAGGGATTGGTTTGGGGACTACCAAGGTTATAATACTCGATACTTGTTTATTAGGTGTACGCCATTCCTAAAATCCTCTACTACTTATCCATTTTCAAGGCTTTATCTCACTAAGAGGCTGATCTACTGAATTTCTCAATGGATCCTTTATTGCCCTCTGGCTATAGAGAGAACCATGATTCGGGGATGAGGATGTATAAAATGAGAAACCAAACCCATCCCATTTTCAAGGAGAAAGGCTCCAGTGTGAGAGGGAAGAGTGGAGACAGGGGAGAAGGGCAACTGACTAGATCAGATTCCCAGCTGGACCACTCATTGAGATATGTGTAAGGAGGGAAGAGAGAGCAAGATTCAAGTACATACCTATAGAATAGCACAGAGATCAGGATCTCCAAAGTACATGGTGAACAATGCCCAAAAGGGGAGACAGACAGACGGACTTGGGGTGGGTTGAGTGGTGATGGGAGGGAAATTGGGGATATTGATGCTGGAAAATGTGCACTGGTGGAAATATGGGTGTTGGAACACTGTACGGCTGAAATATAATCATTAACAGCTTTGTAAGGGTCTATCAGAGAGAGTGATTCAATTTTAAAAAAGTACATGGTGAGCAGCAAAAACTGAGTTACAGAAAGTTGCCTATCACTTTAGAAGTGACTACCATGCATAGAGAAACATGTTAATTACATCTCCTTTCACAATTATTTCACATGAGTTACATGATTCCCATTTTATAAAAGGAAAAATCTACGCCAGAGAGGAATAAAAATCATATCTGAAGTCTCTGAGTTGTAGTAGAGGCAGGATTTGACTCTAGGTTTATTGCTCTTCTAGACCTAAATTCATTCTCCTATACCATTAATGACTCCCCACATTTCCAGCACCTTCTTAACTATTTGCTTAATTAATTCATTACTGTTCAACGCTGGTGCATGTCCAGAAAGCAGTAACCTTAAGTGTTGGCCTTTATTCACTTCATTTCTCTCTTAATTTCCTGGATGCTAAGAAGCTTGGGAAAATTTAATCTTAATTCCTGGTCACAGCCCCATGTTCCCAGTTAAAATCACCACTTCAAAAATCAGAACCAAACACAGATTTCACTATTAACAGGTACAGTTCCCCTCCAGAGGACAGTCCAGGACCAAGTGTAGGGGTGAAGAAGATTAAGCCACACTGCAAAACTTGAGATCTCTGAGTGTGCCACTACATAATCCTGAGTAGGGAAGACAGCATAGGAAAGAGGAAAGGACTTTATATCTAGAGCTATTCCGTATGTTGGTAACCCCTGATCATGGCCCAGTGTTTTTTTCTTCCTCAACTGCTCTATTTCACATATCGACTACTTGACTGACACAAGCAGTGACTCTAATCCCCCACCACCTACCCCCAGCAGGGGCTTAGATGCAGTAACAAAGGCCCCTGAGGTGGGGGAAAGTTACTCTTCAAGGGAGTCTGAGAGTTCCTCAGGGTCTATAAAAGATATGGGCCCTCTATTAGTTAAGTCTTCCCTACTACAATAGCAGATATTAGTGCCAACCTAAAAATTCAATGGCACTGAACACATATAACCTTCAGGGCTCAAATCTACCAGCTATTTCTAGAGCACTGATCTTGTACTAGGCCTACTTTCAAGTTACTACAAGCTGACTAAAATTAGTATGTGAAAGCTTTCTAGTCCTAGAAATACAGAACATCTGGCCACTGTAGGAAGCCTAGGAATCATCCAACCCCTAGATCACTATAGAGCAGCTCCTTCTGAGCTCAGCTTCCTAACCTATAGAAGGCATGGAGGAAAAATATCAGAGCCACAAATATCACTGTTGTCACAGTTCCTTCTGAGTGTCCCTTAACCTATATATGCTTCAGTCAATTTATCTATAATCTCAGATCATTTCCCCTTCACGGAGTACTGGTGAGGGATGAATGAGAAAATGCTCATGAAAGGCTCATAATAGTTGATCCACCATGATGCTTAGTAAATGGAAACTATTATTCATGCAAGAGCCTCCCAAAGATCCCTTCATTCCTGGTCACACAAGTTCTTTCCCGTTCACACATGCTCAGCATGCCACACATATTTTTAGCTCCTCTAATATTCTCTCAGAACCTTATGTATATCCATAGGGTATAGAAGCCCTTGGTCTTTCTCACATATTCATTCAGGCAGCACCAGATGGTAAAACCTCGTTCCTGGCTTTGAAGCACTTAGATTAGCCCTTTTCCTTGCTTTTCTCATTTCAGTGTCATACACACAGGTATAAACATGAACAGACTTCCTCTTGGTTTCCCCAGCTCTTGATCTTGACTTTTCCTTACCTGATTGCATTCTGAGACAAGAGTGGTGAACTAAATCACCTAAGGCCATGCAACCCAGGAATGCAAAAGTCAGAATTCAAACCTAGGTTGTTAAACAATACAACTTGAGCTTCTAATCATGCCTCAACAGTGATATTCCAAAGCAGTATGTGCCAAGGGATGGGCTTAATTCACTGAAGGGTCTGAGACTTGAATATCTAGCTGAAGATCCAGAGCAATGTGAATGAATTGGGACAACCCAATGAGATCAGAAGTTTCCTCTTTCACCCACCCTCATATTTGACTTGCCTTAGGTCTCTTATCTGCATAGAAGACCCACCCCTCTTCACAGAGCAAATAGCCATTACTATGGGGTGAGGGGGAGCTGCATTTCACAAAAACTAACTATGTGCCAGACACTATAGCTTGGTCCCTCTGTTCTCATCACCCCTTAGCTTAGGTAAGATCTTGTTCGGCCTAATCACTTGGTTTCTGCTTCACTCTCTGAAACCTTCCACCATTCCTCGTCCCCCTCCTGACTGTACCACACCTCATGGCTAGATTAGGTCAGTCCCAGTTGGGGAAGCTCTAGGAAGCTATTTTCACTATGTCATGACAATTCCCAGTGACTGAGGAAGGAGAGAACATCTCAAAGACTAAAGGTTCAAGCAGATGCTGACCTATGTCTCTCCCTGAATCCTACCCTAGCTGTATGTATGGTTTATGGGTTGCACTCACAACACATTGATTTATGGTTTATGGGTTGCACTCACAACACATTGATCTTCAAGGTATCAGCCTAGCTCTAGGCCATACTGTTGACAGGA